CTGTCGGAGCTCGGTATACTGCTCTCGGGGTGGACGAAGAGAGGGGCAGGGGTACGAAGCAGAGAAGGAAGCAGAAATCCAACGTGTGTCATTCTCCACCGCACACTCTCCAGGCCGAGCTGGAGTTGCACGAGACACCAGTCCATCACACCGAGAATCCACGCATCCACCAAGTCCACCGCTTTGTTCGAGTGCACATGCGAGCAAAAGCGTATGACCGTATCCAATTGTCTGCTCGACACGTACAGCCGAAGGCTAGGCGTGCGCCCCCCCCCAAAACAAAATTAAAAAAACGATAACGTGTCTGGAGCCCCGCTTGGTTGAAGCCGGTTGCTGCTGCTGCTGCTGCTGCTGCTGCTGCTGCGCTGCTGCTGCTTGTCCTGCTCCTCCTCCTTCTCCTCCTCCTCCTCCTCCTCCTCCTCCTCCTCGTGTTCACTTACCTGCCCTCGCCCCATGACTGCTCCTCTTCCTCCTCCTTACGCCTGGTGTCTCCACCGCGTCTGGGCTCGCCCCGCGCGCCAACGGCTGGCCGCTGGCAGCTGACGCCCACTTCGCCGCCAGCCCCGCGTACCCACTGGGCCATCAGCCGCACGACGCCGCACGACCCCCTCGTTGAGCGTATTCGGCCCGCTGCTTCGGTCGGGGGGCGTCCAAGGAGGGGGGCGTCCGAGGAGGGGGGCGTCCAAGAGGGGGTTCGCAAATCACGGCCCGTGGCGCGTGCACGGCCGTAGTGGGATCAGGGGGCGCATTGAAATAACAAGAGGCGCCACGAAATCTGCGGAGATATCATGGCCCCCGCCTTGATATCCACTCCCCTTAGCCATCCCCCCCTCTTGGCCGCCCCCGACCGGTGCTGGGCTTCGCAGGCACAACGGCGATGACGCCGGCCTTACCCACTGGCAGTCGCTGCCGCACGCCCGAATGTTGGCACGGGGAGCACGCGACTCTGCTCAAGACTGCGGCCTGGGTGCTCGCCAGTAACGCCGCTTCCGACCGGACAGTCCTGGTGGATGCTCTCTACAGCTCTGCAGCCGACGGGGTGGCCCTGACGACCCAAGCGGACGACTCCTGGTAGTGGGTCCAGCGCCGATCCCAAGAAATCCGCGTGGAGCTCAGAAAGGTTATGGTCATGCCAATTTCTTATTATTCGACTCATGCCTGGCTGCTCGTAGACACCACGGTCACCCTGGACGACCTTCGCCGCCGCGCGCCAGAGATAACACACCTGCAACTGCGCTGGGACCACGAACGAGTCGACCGAACCGCCATTAACAAGTGAGCCTGTGGACCATCGGAGCAGGCAGCTTATCATGCACGTTGCCGTGTGGACGCGAATACCAAATCCCTGGCATCCGCCACACACGTCAGCAGACGCGTCGTAGCAATCGGACTACTGCTGACACAGTGGAGCAGAGCCGAGGCAAGAAAGAGGCCAGGAAAAGTGAGCGATGAGGTTGCCACAAGCATCGGAGGAAGTGCAACGCCGCGAGAGATCAAGGTGGCAACTTGAAAGGTCGAAGCCAGGGGGCCAGACAATGCAGGTATATGTATATGTGCAAATAGTGAGAGGGAGAGAGAGAGAGAGAGAGAGAGAGAGAGCGAGAGAGAAAGAGAAAGATGTACGCATGTATCCACCAACGTGCCCTCGGGCGCAACTTGGAATGTCCTCAGGTGCCTTGCTCAGTCCCCTGGGCTTCAGTCCTCACTCCTCAGGAATCTTTTAAGATACCGGGACCCCAAACTTTCAAATATCCTGGGGTTTGGCGCGTGTCCCCTGGGCTCCCCCGAGTGGTGGAGCATGACTTTCGGGGCCATGAGGGGCCCAAGACGAGCTATAGACCTCCAAGAGCCCGCCCAGACAGTCCAGAAGTGCTCCGAATCGTTACACACTCGGTCCAAGACGCTCAAGGTTGCTCTAAGATGGCCCGAGAAGTTTTCGAGACGCCTCAAGAGAGCTCCAAGAGCCTTCCCAAGAGGGCCCCGAGAGTCAAAAACAAATGAGTCCCCTTGGGTTGTCCAATGTTGGTGGGTTCTCGTCTTTTCGAGTTTCCGATGCTACCAGACGTCCCAAGAAGGCAGGCCCCCAGGACCGTCCCATGACGACCCCCAAAGCCCCCAAGAAGGCCTTCAGGTGACCCAAGGGGGCCCCAAGACGGCAGGCAAAGTGCCCAAGACGACCCAAGAGAGCCGCAAGAGGGGCCCAAAAGTGGGAGCCCGAACCAGCAAGTCGAGCCTTCCGTCCCAAGATGCCCCCAGGAGGCCCGAATAGGACCCCAAGATGCCCCAAAAGACCCCCACGAGGCCCCCAAGTCACCGCAAGAGGCCGCACATCGGCCCCCAAGAATCTTCAAAACTACCTGTACGAGGCCCCTGAAGGGCCGCGACATTCCAACGAATATCCTAGAGAGGGCCATGACCCACAATCCTTATAATTACAAATACATACATATTAAATAATACATATACATGTACATGTACATTACACACATATATATATATATATATATGGGTGTATGTGTGAAATGTTACACGTACATCTACGTATACATATACATATACCTATACATAATCATAAGTGTATATAAAAAACATACATGCACATGTATTTATATATATATACATATACAAATACATATACATATACATATACATATACCTATACATATACAAATACATGTATATATGCATAAACATATACATAAACGTGTACATATACATATACATATGCCTGCACATGAACACGTACATCTACATATACACATACATAGAATTCTACATCTACATCTGAATATACATATGCATACATATAAATATACAGATACATACACATATACATATACACAAACATATACCCATACATCTACACATAGCTGCACGTATACATGTGCGTATACATATACGTAGACAAGTTGGTATGCATATACATGTACATCTGCATAGACATTGACAACGACGTTGACATTGCAAACGCATACACCCATACATCTGCATGTACATATAGACATACATAAACATATCATAAACAGATACCTACACATATATGTATATACATATACATATACGAATACACATATTATAACCATCAACATGTACAAATACAGAACCAAATACGCGTACATGTAAATATGCACATACAAATACATGTACATAGACATGCACGTATACATATACGTATACACAGCCAAATACATATAATCAAAACATAAACGGACACATATACAAATATATGTGTATATTTATGGCTGTGTAAATGTATGCGTGTACGTTTACACATACGTATACGCATATACATATACCTATATCGATACATACACCTTTACCTTACAGCTACATACACATAACTGTAAAATATGCATATACACATGTATATATATATACTTATATACACCTTCATATACACATACGTGTACAAAAACATATACATAGAGATACAAGCATACACAATCATATGCATATACATATGCATGTGCCCATACATATACATGCACGTATAAATATACATATACCTATACGATCACCCTGCGGGTGATAAGGAGGTTGGGGGGGGAGGGGCCCAGCAATGGGCAACAGTGGCGAATGTTGTTGTGACAATGCCAGTGGAGATAGTTGCGTTGCCGCTCGCTCTTGGGAGCGTTGGTGTCGAGTTGTCTACGTCACCCTTTGCTCTTTGGCGCCTTGGTACCATTCGGCCCTCCCCCTGGGAACCTGCCCAACTTGCGCAACGGCAGCTAACGGCGCCATTTGGCCACAGAAGACTGAAGCAGCTTCGACCCCCAGACTGGACCCTTGAACCCTGGGAGGCCCTGAGCGCCGAGGACCCCCGGGCCCGCAAGGCCCCTGGGACACCCGCACCAAGGCCCCTGGGACACCCGAGCCCCCCGGACCCCGACCCAACGTGCTCGGGGCCCTGCCTGTGGACGGCGGTCGCGCAAGGCACGACCAACAGCCGCGAGTCCACGTCGTCATCATCATCATCATCATCATCATCATCATCATCATCATCATCATCATCATCATCATCATCATCATCATCGACATCACCATCAACATCATCATCATCATCATCATCATCATCATCATCATCATCATCAGCATCATCATCGTATTCATCATGATCGTCAGCATCACCATCATCATCATCAACGTCGTCATCATAATCACAAACATCAACACCATGAAGGCCATCATCACCATCAGCATCGCACAATCGATCTCACATTCGGTCTCACTACCGATATCACAACCGATCTCGCAATCGACGTCGTCATTATCATCAGCATCATCATCATCATCATCATCAACATCAACATCAACATCATCATCATCATCATCATCATCATCATCATCATCATCATCATCATCATCATCGCCATCATCAACATCATCATTATCACCATCATCATCATCATCATCATCATCATCATCATCATCACCATCATCATCAGAATCATCATCATAATCATCATCAACATCATCATCGGGACACCGACGGGACACGGACGGGACACCGGCGGAACACCGGCGGGACACCGCGCCGCCCCGGCCGCCCGGAAGGGAATCATTTCGTCCGGCCGCGCCTCAGCCACACGGGACACCAGCGGGACACCGGCGGGACACCGCGGGCCACCGGCCGCCCGGAAGGGAGTCATTTGGTCCGGCCGCGCCTCAGCCACACGGGACACCAGCGGGACACCGGCGGGACACCGCGGGCCACCGGCCGCCCGGAAGGGAGTCATTTGGTCCGGCCGCGCCTCAGCCACAGGAGACTTTCTCTCGCCCGCCCACGCAGCTTCGCCTCGCCCGCACGGCACGCACGAACACGAAACCGAAATCGATTTCCCGGTAGGGGGGCTCTCCGTTCCACTTCGTTCCACTCCGTACATATACATATACATGTCCATAAATGGTTGCACATACATATTGAAATTGCATACATGCACATATACGTATACATGTGCATACACACACGCATGTGTATATATATATATATATACATACAT